AGAGGAACTAAATTATATTATATATTATAGCGTTCATGAAAATTTTATTGTAGATGAGAGGAAGTCAACCAAGATAACACGTGCTTGCCAGCCGCATGACAAGTGGTTGCCCTCAAGGCATGTGATGTAACATGGCATGTGATGCCAACATGGCATGTGATGCCAACATGGCATGTGATGCCAACATGGCATGTGATGCAACATGGCATGTGCTCGCACATCACATGACACTTGCTTGCACAAAACATGGTTCAACCAATTGATAGTAAAGGTTAAATGCCGGTCCACGCGGAACAAGTTATACACGAGGTTGAATAGATGATAATAGCCGTAGGTAGTACAAGAGTTGCAAAAGATGCACGTGGAAAAAGAGATGCCGTAGCTACGTGGGATAGCAGTTTGTGCAGCAGGTGCAGCTGTTGCTGTAGGTTGTGCCGCAGGCTCAGGTGGTGCAGTAGGTGGAGCTGTTACCGTAGCTACAGATGGACGGCAGGTGCAGGTGGTGCAGCTGATGCATCAGGTGCAAGNCTGGCGCAGAAAGTTAGAGTCGGTCGGCCGCGGCCACTCAACAGCCGCCTATAAACCGCCCATGGATTTTCACTGTATTGTGAGTGTAAGCGCATATGTGGACTGTGTGAGTTTGTGCGAGTGTTTATGTTGACTGACTGAGTCTGTGTGAGTGTGTATGTGGACTGTGTGAGTGTGTATGTGGACTGTGCGAGTGTATAGGTGAACTTTGTAAGTGGACACACATTATACATTGTCCGCTTGTACAATGCTATAATAAGCTATAACTCAAAACGCAGCGAATAAAAAAAATGAATCTAATGAAAGCAAAAAGCAATTCTGGAATATTTCATGTAGCTTCGCTGCTACATCGCAAGCAAAAAATAAAAGAATAAAAAATAAAGCGGTCGACGGCCGGTAGCTTTACAATTTTCTTCAGATGGACACAAGAATTCGTCCGCGGACTGAAGCGCCAAAAAATAATTGGCGAATGTTCCCTCCAGCACGGGCAGAATTTGCACGTCCACTGATGAGCATTCTGTTCTTCGTGAGCGTAGTGGCGTCAAAGCCACAACTGTCCGCCACAGTCGCCACACGGACTGGTGGGCGGTCAGTGGCTAGTGGTCGGTCAGTGGCTGGTAAATGGTCAGTGGCTAATAAATGGTCAGTTGCTGATACATGGTCAGTGGCTGATTAATGGTCAGCGGCTGGTAAATGGTCAGCGGTTGGTTATTGGTCAGTGGCTGATCAATGGCCAGTGGCTGGTAAATGGTCAGTGGCAGGCCAATGGTCACTGACAAATCGCTTAAAAGCCACTTTCGGCACTGCCAGCAGTAGCGTTCAAATGTGTAAGGTTCATTTCCAACGAATAATACAACTTCTATTACACGCTAAAATGTGAGGAAGACGATAAAAATTTTAAACATCGACGGCAGTTCCAAATTTGGGACAGAAAAGCATGACGGGACAGAACGACGCAGCGGTTAACCACTAATGCCATATGGCATTAATTCATCATAAATAATAGAATTAGTACTTTTCGTCGTTAATAATGATTCGCAGTAACGGGTGAGATAAGATAAAGTTCAGCGGTGGCGATCGTCAATGACGGCAACAAAATATCGAGTAAGGGAATACATGGTGAGTGTGAACAGCTTGAGTTGCCATAACACTATGATAACAGCTTCGTTGAATTAAACGCTGTTTCACTGAACCTACATTTAATTAAAAGTTGTTTCGTGTAAACAACGCTGAATTAAACGTATAGTTTCATGTAAACAACGTCGAATTAAACGTAGTTTCGTGTAAACAACGTTGAATTAAACGTAGTTTCGTGTAAACAACGTTGAAATAAACCTTTTTTTCTTGTAAACAACGTTGAAATAAACGTAGTTTCGTGCAAACAACGTTGAAATAAACCCTTTTTCTTGTAAACAACGTTGAAATAAACGTAGTTTCGTGTGAACAACGTCGAATTAAACGTTTTTTCTTGAAACAAAGTTGAAATAAACATATGATGCCGGCCATTAGCCAGGTAAGCTGCTGGTGCGCCGCGCATACCAAGGCTGGCGAGGCGACGGCGGCGCAGGAAGACGCGAGGCATGAGTGAGGCGCCAGCCTAGAGGCTGCAAGGCCGCGTCCTGCTGAGGCATGACTTGTTGCTGAGGCATGACTTGTTGCTGAGGCATGACTTGTTGCTGAGGCATGACTCGTTGCTGCAGAGGCATGACTTGTTGCTGAGGCATGACTTGTAGCTGAGGCATGACTTGTTGCTGAGGCATGACTTGTTGCTGAGGCATGACTTGTTGCTGAGGCATGACTAGTTGCTGAGGCATGACT